GCCATTGGGGGGGGGTGTGCCCCTCTTTTCCTGGTCACCAGGTCATGTGTGGGAACCAGAGTTTTAAGTGGGTATCGGCTGTTACATTTCTGAGTGGAATACTAGTCCGGTGTTTCTGGAGGTGCTAGTCTTTCCGGGGGGTGGCTACTAAAAATATCCGGGTGGGGTGCACCGAAGAGGCACAAGGTTGGAGGCCCCGTGTGCGAGACTTCCTCTTTGCCTTTTCAGAAATCCAGCCTGGGGCCTGCGGGACACGGCCTTCCTGTGGCAACTGGGTGAGGCCAACGGACTGCACCTGGAGCGGATGGTAGGCTGAGCAGAGACTGTGGCGGGGCAGAAAACAGTCCCGCTGGGAAGCGAATCCGTCCTTTTGCCGAGCCTTGCGCTCTGCAATGGTGTTCCCTGGGGTCAGTAATGCAGTGGGTTTTGGACCTGCCCCTCAAGTAACTGACCCCCTTGCTGGGAACTGTTAGGACCTTCCTTCCCTCCCTCCGTCCTTCCCTCCCTCCCTCCCTCCTTCCTTCCTTCCTTCCATACTTCCTTCCTTCCCTCCCTCCCTCCATACTTACTTCCTTCCCTCCCTCCTTCCTTCCCTCCTTCCTTCTCTGTCTTCCTTCCTTCCCTCCTTCTCTCCCTCCATCCCTCCCTTCTTCCTTCCCTCCCTCCCTCCTTCCTTCCTTCCCTCCCTCCTTCTTTCCTTTCTTCCTTCTCCCTTCCTTCCTTCCTTCCCTCCCTCCTTCTTTCCTTTCTTCTCTCTGTCTTCCTTCCTTTCTTCCTTCCCTCCCTCCTTCTTTCCTTTCTTCCTTCTCTCTGTCTTCCTTCCTTCCTTCCTTCCTTCCTTCCTTCCTTCCTTCCTTCCTTCCTTCCTTCCTTCCTTCCCTCCCTCCCTCCGTCCTTCCCTTCCCTTCCCTCCCTCCTTCCATACTTCCTTCCCTCCCTCCCTCCATCCTTCCTTCCTTCTCTCTGTCTTCCTTCCCTCCTTCTCTCCCTCCCTCCCTCCCTCCCTCCCTCCTTCCTTCCCTCCCTCCTTCTTTCCTTTCTTCCTGTCTTCCTTCCTTCCTTCCTTTCCAAAATGCTGCTATAATGTTGGCTTGGGTGGGGAAATGAAGCTTCCCTGCATATGATTTTCAGTGTTGCTGAAAAAGCTCTTTCGTAACTGAGAATCGGGGACAGGTGAGAGGCCTCCCTCGGAGACTTGTAGCACGTGGATCGAATTGGAATCGGACTCTCAGACAGTAGCTTCCTTCCAGCCTGGAGTCTGTGCCTACGTGGAGCTGGATTTGGAGTTGTTGGGGGTTATTTGGCTTCTTGGAGTTGGAAGGGTGTGTGTGTGTGTGTGCGCGGCTGAGCCAGGCCTTGTTTTGAAGCCTGAATGTCTGCTTGGACCCTTGCCTGTGAACCAGCCACACGGGAGTGCTTCCTGGCCTCGTATGGTGTGAACTGCAAACTGACTCCGGGGGCTTTCTCTTTCCAGGTCGACATGCCAGCAAATAACAAGTGCCTGGTCTTCCGTAAAGAGTGAGCTGTCCGGAGGGGAGTGTCCGGTGTCGGGTTCCGTTGTGGCTGATGTTATACCCCAGGTGCCCCTTTCTGCTCAGGAGCAGCTCACCTGCCCAGCTTGGAACGGTGTTCGGCAGTGTCCCGTGTACCTGGCTGCCGTTGTGGCGCGCATGGCTGAGCTTGCGCCTCCGAATTTTTTTGCAGGAATAAGAACTTCTCCTGCTGCCGCCGGAGGGATTCGGGTGTGAATTTGGGTGAGAAAGTGGGACCATTTGAAAGTGAGCTTTTTGGTATAATGTTCTTGGGCTAAAATCCTCATGTTGTCTTGCTTGCCACGGTTGGATTAAAGACACACCCCCCCCAACAGCACCCTCTCATTTTCCTGCTGTTTGTTCCAAACTGTGACTGTGTACACACACTTGAGGGGGAAGCGCCCTGCTAGGCCTGAGCAGCAGTCTGTCCTCTGGCTGTGAAGAATCACTTGGGTTGAACGGTCCTCCCCTCGGCCTATAAAACAGGTTCCCCTTGAAAGTCTTCAGCCTTTCCTCATAGGGGCCGCCTGAATCATCTCTTGGATCAGAAGAGTATACAGGTCTCCAAAAGAGGCTCCACCTTCACACAGGGCCAAGTTCCCTCCATGTACTTGTGGTATTATGTGAACCCCACCCCTATTTTTGAGAACTGCTCTTGAGAGAACTTGCGACTGACCCAAGGTCACACCAGCATACCTAACAAGGGATACTCCAAAATTCAGCTCATTCTGTCACTTTGATATAGAAGAAGAAGAGATTGGATTTATACCCCATAGCCCTTCACTACCCAAAGGTGTCTCAGAGCAGCTTACAATCTCCTTTCCCTTCCCCTCCCCACAACAGACACCCTGGGAGGTGGGTGGGGCTGAGAGCTCTTTCGAGGACTGCCCTTGAGAGAACTTGTGACTGACCCAAAGTCACACCAGCATACCTAACAAGGGATACTCCAAAATTCAACTCATTCTGTCACTTTGATATAGAAGAAGAAGAGGAGACTGGATTTATACCCCTTGCCCTTCGCTACCCAAAGGTGTCTCAGAGCAGCTCACAAACTCCTTTCCCTTCCCCTCCCCACAACAGACACCCTGAGAGGTGGGCAGGGCCGAGAGAGCTCTTGACAGAAACGGCTCTTTTTCAAGGACAGCCGTTATCAGAACTATGGCTCGCCCAAGGGTCATCCAGCCAGGCGCAAGTGGAGGAGGAGTGGGGAATCAAACCCGGTTCTCCCAGATTAGAGTCCGCGCACTTAACCCACTACACCAATACAGTTGATTTTGCTATCCTGAAACAGAGAAAAATATTTCTGTCTTTAGCCATTTTTGTTATTAACATGATCCTTACCCCACATTTCCTGCCTTCTCTATGCGTCTGTACCAATGCTCCCTCTAAGTTGTGGAGTCTTGTGAGCAAAAATTCTACTTTGTGAGCTCCTGGCATTAAAGTTGTGAGCAAGCAATTTGGCTGCTGCATAAGTTAGTTTGTTCTGGAGCCATCCTTCCTGAGCCAAGACAAAAAATGTGTGAGCCGGAGGCTAAAAAACTGTGAGCTGGCTCACACTCACTCAGCTGTACATGTGTGTGTGGGGAGGATATAAAGCTGGTTCCCCACATATGGAAACAAAGACAGTTTTGCTTGCCTGGACCCTAATTTGGTCGAACAAACGCAGACATATTTTCCAGCCAGTCTGTCCAAGAAGGCAGTGTTTACTCTGGATTTTGAGATCCATACTGATTATCCAACATAGGAGTGGTGTCGATGAATCTTGACATTATGTTCATCCAGGCAGCACCAGTCAGAAAAAATACAGTGCAGAGCCTAAATGTATTCCTCCGTAAATCAGCATTTATGTGATAATTTGCTGCCATTCATTGATCTTACCGGCCACCTGACACAATTTCAGCCCTCCTTGTGTATCCTGGCTGTGACTGGCCCTTCCTAACAATCCCCCCCCCTTTTTTTCCCCTGTAAGTGGGGCTTGAGGAGATTTCATTTCATTGTGTCTGAGGATGTGTGCTTGCCCATAAAAGCTTATACACTTTGAATAAACCTTGGTTAGTCTTCAAGGTGTCGCTGGACTCAAATTTGGTTCTGCTACCTCAAACCAACACGGCTACCCCACCTGAATGCATTTCTCATTTCTCCCTGTAGGTAGCTGCTTTAATCTCTCATGGCCTAGTAGTCAAAAGTTTCTGTAGTTGCTAAAAACAGTAATGATCAATTCTGGCTGTGTTTTTACCAGAGGGGTGTGTGTTTGCATATTTAGTGAGGTCTCTCGAATGTAATAAAGTGACTTAAACCTCCAGCAGCAGCAGCAACACAATTTGCTTTGACCTTCTTTGATAACATCAGTTCAGCAATTACTTGCGACCACGGCTGTCATCGTTTCTGTGAAGGTGTGTGCAGCTTTTAAAAAAAATCACTGTCTTAATGCCTTTTGTTCATGTCCTTGGAAGAATTTGCCCAAGCCTAGCCCTTTCAACTTCTAAAAGGGCTATTTTTCAAAAGGCTACCTAGGGACGTGTCATTCAAACACAGAGAAACCAACTCTTTGGCTCCTCTGTTCGGCCCCTTTCTTTCTTCTGCTTCATGCGACTACGAAGAAACTACTGATCACTCCTAAATGTAGTGCGTATAAAGTGAAGGCTGGGGCGCGTGAGGGAATTTAGTCCCTTGCTAGAGAACAGGGTTTCATCTTAACATTAGGAAAGGGGCTATACTTACTCAAATGAAGAAACAGGCCCTGCGCGTGAGCTTAGATTCTAATGTTAAGAAGGCCCTTTAAGGATTAAAGAAGGCCCTTGGGAAAAGTCAAAACGCAGAGTGGTTGGCTTAAGAAGGCAGTGGGATGCCACGAAGAAAAGCAAGACAGTGGCCAACCAGTAGCGCTGCAGAGTCAAACAGGCCACAGAGGTCTTTCTCTGGCTGTTAGATTCAAGTCCAGTAACAACTTAAGAGACCAACATAAGAACATAAGAGATGCCAATGTTGGATCAGGCCAAAGGCCCCTCTAGTCCAACACTCTGTGTCACACAGTGGCCAGAAATACCAGGTGCCATCAGGAGGACCAGCAGTGGGGCCAGGACATTAGAAGCCCTCCCACTGTTGACCCCCCCCC